CGAAAAGCGAACAAGTTGGTTTGCGACCCCGTTCACAACGAGTGCATAATAATAATCGTACAAACGAACCTACCATGAATTGAGTAATGTGTTTATTAAATTTGTATTGTGATCAATTTAACAACAACATACTTTTATTAATAATACAAAAATTCAACGGCTTAGTATATCAATACATTTTTACGGACTTGACCAAAATGTACCCTGACGTCTTAGATCAGTGGCTGACAAGTAGAATATATAGAAGGGCATCTGCCACGAATATCTGTTGAGAGTGTTGATAGGAAATTAGGAGCGATTGAGGACAATAAAGCAAGCAGCCCGTTCGATCCTGATAACTTGTAAGTTATTTGCCAAAGTTTTTGCCATACCATTACAAACATCTTCAATCATTCATTTAATTCTATGAAGTTCCCAGGAATTTGGAAAATTTCAAACGTGTGTAGTCCAAGGTCGTTCCATAATCCAGAGTGGAGGATCTAAGACCAATTCCCCCCTCCCGTATAATTTATAAAGTGCAAGAGTCCAATGCAGTAAAGTGGATTCTGAAAGATCGATGTTCAGAGAAAAATAAGTGACCCACCATACGGTGATCTTGCAGCATCATCTGCTGTCCTAGCATTCATTTACCTGGCACATAATCGGCATATGAGTATTGAAAATGCACGGAAGGTTGGGTGAATCACCTTCTTGAACTTCCGCACAGCTTACGACCTAATTGATCACAACAAACTAATGCACAATTTTAAAGATATTGGCTTCCGCCTGCATTGTTAAAGTGGTTTGCTTCATACTTACAAGGAAGATCACAAATGTGAACGGTTGGAAATGAGCAGTCTGAAGTAAAGAGAAAAAGAGGAGGGATCCCGCAAGGAAATAAACTTGGTCCTATAGCATTTACTATAAAGATCAATAACCTTCCCAGTCGTTGCATGCGAAAAATGATGGCCAAAACCTTTGTTCAGATGAAGATGTGGTCATATTTATGGATGATACTACCATATCAGAGGTAATAGATATCTCTAATCATTCATCTGAAAGTCCTGTTGGAAATAGTCAAAATGATGTAGATAACGTAGTTCAGTTTCCGGAGAATGAACAAATGGAAATGAATGCCAAGAAGTGCAAGGAATGATTATAGATTTTAGGAAACGCAAGACTGCGTATTGATGATCAGCCAATGGCAAGAATTAAATCGTTCAAGTTGCTGGACCTCTGGGTGGACGATGACTTAAAATGGGAATCGAATACAGAATAAATTATTCTGGAAGCAGCTAAACGTTAAAATTTATTAAAGACCCTCAAGAGTTATGGTGCACCAAAGAAGGATCTCAAAGCCTTCTACGGCGCCGTTATTAGATCAACTCTGGAATACGGTGCACCAGTATGGCAAGGGAACTTGACACAAGCACAGCGTTATGACATTGAAGGAGTGCAGAAACGTGCCATGATTGATGAATCCTCCCAGAATATGGATACGATCAAGTATTACAAGAATGCAATTTGAAAACGCTGCAAGAGCGCAGGAATGATACGTGCATTGACCTTATTAAAAATATGTCACTACCGTACTATAAGCTTCATATATTGCTCGCTAAAATATATTCGGAGACGAGAGGCAAGGAAACTCGAACAAACCCAAAGAAACTCTACAATTTCTCATGTAAAACTGAAAGATTCAGACGTAGTCCACTAGTATATGCAATTAATAGATATAATAAGACAAAAATTCTGCTCGTTCTGAAGGCTTGGCCTGCTCGTTCAGGAGGTTGGTTATGGGCGTTTCTCATCAATCTTATTGACCAATTCTCTAGTTTCCATTGAAGCAAAAATTCTGCTCGCTCTGGAGGTGCGCCTATGAGCTTTCGTTTTGAGCTGTCCTAATGATTTGAACTGATTATGATCGATAAATGGCAGCAGAAAAATTTCCATTAATATTTCAAGCCTGTATTCTATCAGTCAGGTATGACTCAAACCAGCCATGTTCAATATTTGTAAACCTAAATTGTGTTTTCATTTTTTGTAATAATATCTTATGATCTAGGGAATCAAATGCTTTAGGAATATCTAAGAAAACAGTATCTTTGTGTAATCCTGTGTGGCTATCGTCTACAAAGCGGAACCACCATATAGGAGAGTGCGCTGCTGATGTATGAATGACCTGGTCTTCAATGTGTTCCATGTTTATATTCTCTATGGTCACAGGCAGCTATGGGGAAGGCCATGGCACAACCGAATATTTGTTGATAATATTGTTATCATATGTGTTTTCATATGTGAAATAGCTGTTTTTTACTTGAAGTGAATTGATTCCATACGTCGTGATACTTATCGGATATAATTTACAATTTTAAAACCGGTGTATCTCTAAAAACCTGAATAATTCAAGTAATTATAGTATATAATTGTATTGCATTGTATTTTATTATATAATTCATTTGATTGTTTACATGTTGAAATTATTTTCTGCCAGGCGCTTCGTTTGACAAAAACACCCCAAGCACCCCAGCACGCTCACTTTTTTTTCAGCTGACCTCTATACAATAACTGAATGCAACATTATTTCTTACTACACTGGCGGTCAAAAAGAACTGCTCAAAACAAGTTAAAATGCTCTCAAATGAACGTAACTGTCCCTTTAACAATATATACGAGTAAATATAGACTAGATTACACGCTATAAGCTATATGAAATATTAATATTTTGTTGACTCTCCTTTGGCCTTATTATTGATGACGGTCTTACACCGGCGTGGCATACTTTCTGTTAAGGTGGTAATCTTCACGGTCAAAAGAAATTCATCCTATAGACAGTCCTTACAGCAACGCATAAATCATGGACGCTTTATGAATGAATTCCATTCTTGCACTATCCCCTTGAAATTGTCCCACAGATTTTCAATAGGGTCTTTGTTTGACGATATCTTGGAAGTGTGGCAGGTGGCATTACATTATTGAAGTGTGGTTTGGAATAAGAGAATTATACAAAAATGCCTATGAAGCTCTCTCCTATATTTGCTTCTTTTGTATGAATTTGTATCTAAACAGTTCATTTTGACCGCTAGTGTACAATAAAAGATAAGGCTGCAAATAATCGCTGTTTGGAAACCGTCTGGATCCTTTTAATCGTACGCTAGGTGCAATAAAATAAAATCTTCTTCAGTCGGAATACCTTCTTCAAATAGTATTGAACAACCCTCTAAGTTTTCAGAACGAAGTAATCTCGCGTCGCAGCAGTTTGCTTCAATTAATGCTTTTAAATTCAGGGGGAAAGGCATTGTAGTTTCCAGGCTTTTTGCGACAGTCACGTTTCCGTTGGATCGAAAAACTTTACTTGCTTAAGTTCCCTATTTTATCACAACTGGGAGTTCAGGAGCCAAACAACGTACGCTGGCAGGAGTACTGTGACGAATTGCGAAACCTAAACCAGTTTAAAAAAAAGGAGAGTAGAATATTGAGCATATATAACATGTAACATGAGCAACCGTCATTTTGCTTGTCAACGTTGTTTATAAGTATAACACAACAGATTGAAGAATACGATCAAACACTGCACGAACCATTTACATTTGCGAAGGCTAATAATTATAAGCTCTTATGGGCTGATTACATGGGGGAGTTGTCCCGGCTAAGCGAGTTGACTCGCTTTGCCCAGTTGACCCGCTGTGTATACTTATTCCATATTATATTAACATTACGATAACATGGCAAGCAAGTCGTCCCGCTTAGGCGAGATCCCGCTTTTTGCTTACCGAGTAACTCGCTTAGGTGGGATACTTCTCGCCATGTAATTGCATTTTGCCGAGTTGACCAGGCAATTAAAGCGGGCAAGTATTCTGACTGCGCATGCATTATTCTGTCAGTTTACATTTTTTCATGATGGCGAAAGAAATATGCACAGTACAAAATTTCAGGAAAAAATAAAATACAGACGACAACAAACTTCTTGGCCCAGAGAGTATCACACCAATCGCGCGAAGACGGCGAAGATCGTAATGAATATTTAAAGCGACAGAAAGATGATAAGTTAAAGATACGGAAAGGATATGCTAGAGTATGTATTAACATTTCCCATGTAATCGCATGTCTCAACTCGTTCCGGTCAACTGAGTCAACTCGCTTGGCTGGGACAACTCGCCTCATGTAATGGGTCCTTAGGTTATAATATGAACAAAAGCTTTTAGTATATAAGCGATTTCCATATATAGCATGCGGTTTATTTAAGACCTGTTTACACTTGCAATTTTTGCAGCGATTTTATGTGAGATTTTCTTCTTTTGACAGATGTTAACGAGTGAATTAGTTACGAATGCTCAGATGTATAAGAGCTCTTATTTGTACATTCAGGGATTTCTGTATACATTTTGCCAAAATTTAAAATGTGTATACCTTAAAAATTCGTTTTTCGCTCTTTAGTCGAACTGATCAATCACGGAGTCCATGCGAATATTTCGATTCAGCAAAACACCACGTCCAAGGTTGAATGGGCGCTGAAATCAGAGTTAATAATCGGTGTTTTAAAGCTTGCGCATAGCGCCGGTTGTTCGGAAAGCGTTTACCCTATACATTGGATAAGCCGAAGTTTAAAAATACTCTCATTCATCTTGTGAATGCCCGGCGAAATTGAATTTTATGTATTAAATATTTCAGCTTATTTTTCCCATAAAAAATAATTTTTAGATATTTCAGCTTAAACGCGATTTTTCAGAATTGAATAGTTTTGTAAAGAAATTATATGGTTTGTGTTTTCGGGTGTTATATATATTTATGCATATTGGGACTAACTTAATTTCAATATTTTGACACTCTTCAGTGTGATTTTGTTGCATGGGAAGTGTTGGTGCCTATTGTCTATGTTTAACTGTCAACAGTATGTATTACGAGATTATTATCCTTGAACTTATTAAATTTGCCATGCAGACGTGACCATTGTACGTCACGCGGCAGCACATTAGTGGTGGCATTTGGTTTCAGCGCAACAGCTTATAATCAGATGTTTTCAGGGCTTCTATATTAGTTGGTTTACCTGTTTGGAGAAGAGTTCAAGATGAATGTGATTATAGCGTTGTTGCTTTTTCTCGACATTTTCTCCACGGTTCCTGTGAGGTATGTGTAAACCCTTATCCGACGTTTACTGGCACAAAATCCTCTTTTGGTGCCTTTTGAAATTGTTACATTCTACAGTTCAATTGTAATATGATGACGTTGTATTGTACGTAACCAAAGTTGTCTCGCATTACCCTTCGAGTCCCGTCAAACCTTACTCGCTCCAGCCTATGTTGATTAAACATTTTTTTCTCTCCAGTGCCGTTTGCGAAGGTAATAGGTAAGGCCTATGCTTGCTTTAATAATCTCGGAAAACAAATAGGGTTGATTTTATGTAATTGGGATGTGGAGGGTACAAACCTTTCCACCGAGAAGAGACGCGCAACAGACAACGGTGCGCCATGTTACACACAGGAATCACCTTATGATCACAGAGATAATTAATTAACTAAATACAACACTATACTCGGTTGTTGGAAAATGACCGCCGTCGAACGTACAACAAAGGTCATTTCGTCAATTATACAAGATTTTCATGAAGTCTAATTCTAGTGAATTGCATAGGATTAATCCCGACATAGCTACATTTCTACGTTTCTAAAGTCAATTGGTAACTTGACAAGCCACTTCCAATATTTTCATTCATTATTGTAGTTGCAGCGTGTTTTTTGTTCCGCTGTAATATCATTATTTCGCAGCTGGTTGCGCATCAATGCTACTTCCGCACATAATATTATAATTATAATAACATGTTGCGATTTTTTTGTAGCTTATTTTTGTTCTCCTACTTCCTATACGTATGATAACAGTGAAGTGCACATAAAATTAGAATCTCTTAAGGATCTTTCTCTATTTGTACGGTTACGGCACTTTGAAATTAAGCACTTCTATGCATTTTAGCCACTTCTTGAATGCACGTATATAATTGCATTGTCTCATAAAGCTCGCTGTCTTTTAATTAACCTTTATTAAGCTTTTACGATTAAATTTGTGGCACTTCATGCATGTAGGTAAATTCAAAAGGTTTTCAAACGGCTTAATTTCGAGTGGATTCATACACAACTCAATTCAAGGCAGGAACAGTTAAGAAAAAAAAATAGTCAATTATCGGTCCTCCGGCAGAAATCGAGCCTACGCTTATGCGATGCTGGTGCAGTGGTCCTGCCACTGAGCTGTTTAACCTTTGTTCAATTCATTATAATAGATATTTGATTTTTTATTAAATATTTTCCCCTGTGTGCACTCAACAATTACCGATTCGGAATATAGAAATAAAGACAGAGTCAATACTGGCTCTTACTTTAAACTCCTACATGGCGCAAACCACAAGTCGTGCTAACTAACGATAATTAACTATAGCGTTATCATTCGAGTACCATCGGATTCTGTTCGGAGGCCGATTCATCAAACATCGGAAGATGAATATATCGGCATTTTGTATAAGATGCATATAAAACAAAGAAATAGTAAGCTAGGGCCCAAGTTGGGTAACCTGTAGCATGAAAACGTATATCAGTCGAATAGTTTTGTTTCCTAAGTGCAAAAGACGCAGTCAGTGAATCATAAACGTTCGAGGTTAAAATTTTTTGGGCAACTTGGTCTTTGTTTGTGGAAAAACTACACCAAAGCTTTGACCTTGGAAATTAAATGCAACACTCCGAGAGCAATTGTTCACATATGAACAGGAAATAGGAGTTTCCGATTGTAAAACATGCAATTCATCACATTATGAGAGGTAAATTAATCATCAAAAAAAAGTGGGTAAAGTTAAAACGCGGACACGGAATGCCGGACGCAGACAACCCAAAACGATAAACCAATTAACTAAGAATATTAATTAATTATCATATTAGTTATTATTATGTTATCGCTTATTGATTATTGTATTTTCACTCGATATATATATATATATAACTGGTTCTTTTTTGTTTGATTATTGAATCCACTATTTCTTAAATATCATATGTGCTCTAGTGACAGGCAAGCTCTAATTGCTCTAAGAATTTCGAAGTTTCCTTTAACTCTCGGATTCCATCATCATAGGGCCTATTCGCATCAGACACAATCACTAAATTCGAAGGTGCCCTGATTTTCTTCGCTGGAAGTAGGCAAAATTGCAAAAGATACAAGATGTATGTCCTAAAGAACAGATTTGGTAACCGAGTGGCATTGGTTCGTTTTTGTTGCAGCTGTCGTTGTTCTTGTTGTTTTTGTTCTACTTTTTGTTCTTCTTGTTGTTGTTGTGAACATGCGGGGATAGTGGAAAGCGAACTCATTGCAGATATTCGGATATAAGAACGGCTTTGTTGCCTTTGTGAGTTTAATTTCCTAGACGCGTACAGCTTCGCATACAAGAAGATTGTGTAAACCGGTATAGTGTTTCGTCTCAAGCTTAGTTTAAAATTGTAAAAAACAATTAAACATCCCTCTTTTAATAAAATTTGTTTTATATGACTTTACATGTTATTGTAATGTTACCCTAAAATCATGGCGCAATCGCCAGAAACCCCGAGGGATGTTTTTCAATCAAATGTTTGAAACATCAGTCGACAAAATCCGCGTATGCCAGTACACGTCCGTCGTTCTGCGTCCGCCGGTCCGCGTCCGCCAGTTTTCCATACCAAAAAGAATTCTAAATGTAAATTCACTTCTGAAGGTCGCATGCATATATGATCACTTATTACTGCACTTCCTATGTTCGTAGCATGCCAGGGCAGGTTGTATAAAACTCTTAATCACTTTTTTTCATGTGCATGACTAAATTATTTTTGTGGCTAAAGCGTCGTTGATTTTTCTAAAGCTTTCCCGAGAGGCACATCATGGGATTTTCATTTGGTATTCAGCTAGCTAATGATCTTTAGTATTTTTGCACGATTGAACATAACAAATTCTACATTCTTTAAATAAAGTTTTACTACTACTACTTCTGATCGGTCAAATTTGACGTATCATGTTGTTATATTCACCTTCAGGTGAATAACAAAATTTCACATGCGACCGTGACCGGCCTGAAAAACAAAGCGCGCTTTGCCCGCGCGGGCGGAGCGGACGTAATGGAGAATTGCTTTTACAAGCGAACAAATGCAGTTGTTGTTTCAATTCACATGTGCAAAAATACTAAAACAATTATTCCCCTTAGGCTCAGTGATTATCGGGGAATATTCACCTTGACTTCGCCTCGGTGAATATTCCACCTTAATCACGTCGTAATATATATAACATATCGGTCAAAATATGGTTCCTACGCTACAAAACAAGTGCCAAATATTTTTTACAATAAAGACTTTTGCGTGATAAAAGACATTCAAAAGAAGTGGATGATTGTTCGTATCATACACATGGAAAGCATCATGTCGATTCGAAGACAACCAGAAGGTCATTCAATGCTGTTGCCTGTTGGCCTCTGCTGCTATCTGCACTCAAAACTGTTTGACATTATTAGAATTGTGCTCGAATTCCGTAATTGAAGCTTGTTGAAATTTGAAGGTCACTCACAGTTAAATGAGTTAATTAAAGAAAACCTAAATGCACAATGAAAAATAACATGCCATGCACTCTGTTTATTGGCGCAAATATTTAACTGAGTTAATTAAGTACTTGTATTCCTGAACACTTCTTTTCCGACTAGGCTTCCAGAAGATTTGTCGAATTAGTTTGCAAAGGCAATCTGTACTTGCCTTCTACTGAAACATTAATAACATCAGACGATTTTATCCCGGAAGAAAAATTCTTGCAATAATCTTTGACCCATGTCATCTGATACACTTATTATTAACGTCAGGAAAAGCAACATAATTTACCATGATTATGCATGCACATTTAGTAAAGAGGCTCTCATTCATTTTAATCATAATTTATGCGTCTTTAAAACATACAAACATTGTAGCGATAATAACATTTATTACATATAAGGCATTACGGGGGGGATATTAATTCATATACTCAAGCTCAGCATTATTACTTTCTTTTCAAACTTATTGTTTTTACTGTCTTCTAACATCAATAATTTGAAGATTTAGAAGTCCCCCACTTAACGTTCTTCCGCGGCCGCTGCAAAGGACAGGCTGGCGCATGAATCTTGCTGTTGATTGCGTATGGTCAATTAGCAGTACAAGTGCCTGGAAACTTTGAGTATAAAAATGCTTAATGATCTGCACTCCCAGATATGCATGTTCATGCAATGCCTAGATCACTTTGGACAGCCTTAAAGTGCCTATATCAACCCCAGGGAAATAACCTACTTAGATAGATCAGACGATTTTAAGAACATTTGCAATATATTTGATAAGACGAAAATTTGATCTTCATGTACTTTTCGGGCCTCAAAGTTTGCTTTTTTCGTGTTTGACCGTGAGGTGCTGTGAGTGGGAACTAGTTTCCCTTTTTCACCGGAAGTGACGTACATTGGAGAACACGCTAATTTTGTAAACAAGTGAAGAAACACGCTTTAAAATATAGAAATATTGCGGCAATAAGGTGCGAAATCTTGTAGTATATAAACTTTTTGGTTCGTTTTTCGCTAAAACGACGTCGTCAAGTTTTTCCGACAACTTAGACAGCCAACTTGATTGGGATATTTAATTCAACCCGGATTATATATTGCCAATATTGGAAGTTGAAGACGATACGATACGATACTGTTGCTTCAAGAGACGGTACGCCTACCCATGACGGTTTATATCAACCTTACCAAGACAAAACGATTGCTGACCGACTGACTGTGCCGAGTGTACTGATGAAGACTAAAGTGGGACGTGTACATGAAGAAAGAAGGCAGCTTCTTTTATTTCGCGGCCGGACTATCCCAGTGTTTAATATATAAAGGCACCATATTATTACATATAAAGCACGTATTTATTTGCCTGTTGATTTCCATAAAGCTGTATCAAAATACTGACAAATGTTTCAACCTATTGTTTCACAATAAATATAAATATATGTTTTTGTAGGTGCAAATCTAAAAATTGCAAGATCGATCTCTTGGTAAATGAAAAACAGGAGCGTTGAAGCGTTGAGTGGAGAACTTGTCTTACAAGAAGTTGGAGAAGTCCCACATTGCATAACAATGCGTCCTGGTCGTTGCGTCTAATTTCATAACATAGATGGAAGGAAGTATAAATGTGCAAGGTGATTAAAACAGGCAAGTATTCAACAATAACTAGTGGCTAATATGCATGTTCTTTAGCCATTTCAATTTAAACATGATAATTTAGAATAAGTTCTCAATACTTCACATTGATCTATATCACATTGATGTATATGCTTATGATTTCCAAAAGACAAAGGTTTGAAGGTTTTAAAGATCTTTCCTCCAAAACTTTGTCTGGAATGGAATCATAAGCACATGCTGACAAAGGTATTCTTCTCTTTCCCAAGTAGCTATAAACCAATAGACCTTTTCAGCTTGTATGCAAATTAATCCATTTCAAGTCACAATTGCATGCAAGCTGAAAAGGTCTATTGGTTTATGGTTACTTGGGAGAGAGAAGAATACCTTTGTCGACATGTGCCCATGATTCCATTCCAGACAAAGTTTTGGAGGAAAGATCTTTAAAACCATCAAACCTTTGTCTTTTGGAAATCATAAGCATATACATCAATGTGATATAGATCAATGTGAAGTATTGAGAACTTATTCTAATTTATCATGTTTGAATTGAAATGGCTAAAGGACATGCATATTAGCCACTAGTTATTGTTGAATACTTGCCTGTTTTAATCACCTTGCACATTTATACTTCCTTCCATCTATGTTATGAAATTAGACGCAACGACCAGGACGCATTGTTATGCAATGTGGGACTTCTCCAACTTCTTGTAAGACAAGTTCTCCACTCAACGCTTCAACGCTCCTGTTTTTCATTTACCAAGAGATCGATCTTGCAATTTTTAGATTTGCACCTACAAAAACATATATTTATATTTATTGTGAAACAATAGGTTGAAACATTTGTCAGTATTTTGATACAGCTTTATGGAAATCAACAGGCAAATAAATACGTGCTTTATATGTAATAATATGGTGCCTTTATATATTAAACACTGGGATAGTCCGGCCGCGAAATAAAAGAAGCTGCCTTCTTTCTTCATGTACACGTCCCACTTTAGTCTTCATCAGTACACTCGGCACAGTCAGTCGGTCAGCAATCGTTTTGTCTTGGTAAGGTTGATATAAACCGTCATGGGTAGGCGTACCGTCTCTTGAAGCAACAGTATCGTATCGTATCGTCTTCAACTTCCAATATTGGCAATACATAATCCGGGATGAATTAAATATCCCAATCAAGTTGGCTGTCTAAGTTGTCGGAAAAACTTGACGACGTCGTTTTAGCGAAAAACGAACCAAAAAGTTTACATGCTACAAGATTTCGCACCTTATTGCCGCAATATTTCTATATTTTAAAGCGTGTTTCTTCACTTGTTTACAAAATTAGCGTGTTCTCCAATGTACGTCACTTCCGGTGAAAAAGGGCAACTAGTTCCCACTCACAGCACCTCACGGTCAAACACGAAAAAAGCCAACTTTGAGGCCCGAAAAGTACATGAAGATCAAATTTTCGTCTTATCAAATATATTGCAAATGTTCTTAAAATCATCTGATCTATCTAAGTAGGTTATTTTCCTGAGGTTGATATGGGCACTTTAACCAGCAGTATAAAAGTATTTTAAGTGATAATTGATGTTAATTGATTATTTAAAGCAATGGTGAATTGGGGAACAACGACTACTTGATTGTTATTCCAAGAGTTTTTCGTGCGGGAACGAAAATGAACATCGGAGTTAATATTTTTGGCAATAAAGGGTGTGATGTTGAAGTCAGAGTGTACGATGGGACAAAAAATGTCCTAATAAGCCAAGCCAGAGATCGATTTCAACCAAATGAAGCCGGCACTCTGGAACTTCCGGTTAGTATTGTAGAAAACCAGGAGGTCGAATTGTATGCATGATATTTTTTGCTCATTAGAGATTCACGTCTTTTAGGCGCTCGAGAAGGCGTCGTCGACTCTTAAAATGGAAAGCACGGTGTGTGGAGTGAGAACTAAAAAAAAATCGGTGAAATTCGTAACTTTTGAAAATAAAGTTTTTATTCAAACTGACAAACCGATTTACAAACCTGGACAAAAAGGTCAGTTTATGCATAAAGCATGGCAAAGTACATGGGATAATTAAATACATGCATGACTCTTGTTTTCTGAAACTTGATTAAGTCATCAGAGAAAAATTACCATTTTGTGTTTTGTAATCCAGTCTTGTACTCCAGTAGTCTTGTAATCTAGTCGTTGGATAAACAACGATCATTTCAGAATTTGTAAAACTCGAACATTATTTTCTTTCTAAAGTAATAAAATAGTAAATTCTACAGGGATATAGGTTAGAATTTAAAACGATATGTTATACTTTAAAATGATATGTTATATTTAAAATGATATGTTATACTTTATTTTAGTCTTGATTCGAATCATTAGTGTTGATCCTAAGTTGAAGCCTGCAGGAAAAAAGGTAACTTAAATAAAGACTTTAAACACCTCTTTTCAATAGGCTGAATGTTTCGAATGAACGAAAATGTTCTTCACCTTTATTTTATTTCAAATTCTAACCGATTGAAAACAAAATTCGCGTCTGGACTGGAATGCATAATGTGAAACGGAATTAAGTATAATCATGTGCACCTCAGTAATTATACAAAGACAATTTGCAAAAAAAATCCATGCTTTTGAGAACCTCCTTAGAAATATACAATGCAGCAAATTTTATTGCATATAGATAAGAACATTCCGTTTGAACGCCACTTGTTTAAGATTTTTCATTGCACGAGGACGATAAATTCTCAGTATATAACAGCGGCAGCCTTTAGACTTATAATTTTCACGTTTTATTCCCGATTATAGATTTCTTCAGTGATTATAGAGGTGAGTTTGTCTTAAGCGCATAAATATTCACACTCATGCAGGCGTAAATACGCGAATTTTTAATGGAAGGAAGAGGATGGATGTAAGGAAGATGATCAGGGGGGGACTCGTAGACGTCAGGGAGTCAGGTGTGAAAAGGGGCTTCCTGTTTCAGGAGACCCAGAAGTGCAAGGATAGTTTAATCTGGATTGCTTATTATTGCTCATTTTATGAAAAGTATGACACCGTAGAAATGTGTGCTCGTGAAAACTCATGACTGGTTCACATTTGAAAACTAATTACTACTTCTGTATTGCTGCAGTTTCAATGTATGCATGCAGGTATAAGTGATCATTCTAATATCCGGCTGTACGTTTAGCCAATTTTTTTCAGTAAGGTGGAAAACGGAGTGATTCACATATAAGAATATATCGAATGCGTTACGCATTGCAAATGACTCCCACAGCGGCCAAAAAGAGAGGGAGGGCAATTTCCCAAAGCGACAAGGTTGCAGGGTCCTCCAAGATGCCATTAAACTATTTTGGGAGTATATACCATTCGTATGGGTTATTTACAGTTTGGACAATGCAACATGTATTCGATATGATGAAAAAATTCAAAATATAGGAAATCTCATCTGCTGTATTCTAAATTAAAAAATCCCAAGGCCGGGCGCATTATAAAATTATTATTACAAAAATTACATGAACGTACTATGTTATATTTGCTACAAAATTTGGCCTGTGAAGAGAGTTTTGTCCCTGGTCCACAAAATTATCAGCGGCCTTGACGACGTCATTTCTTGCTCATCTGAGAAACATAAGAAGAGAGAACCTCGACAGAACCTATCTACATCACTGGCATTTCCTTCTTTTCTTATAACTTCTCTATTTCAAACCTTCAAATAGTTCTATCGTTTATGCATGTATACAAGAAGTAGTTAATATAAAAGATTAATATTTATAATATTTATAATGATCGTTATTCCTCTAACATAGGAACCCAATGGTGCGAAGATAATGCAATGGAAAGATGTTTTGATGCAAGATGGTATGTGGCTGTCTTTTCTTAGCCCGGTTTTTCTCGACCGTGAAATTAAACGAAAAGTATGATAAATAATGATTATATATATATATAACAAACGTACCATTTCAGGTTTTGCAAACTTGCAGCTTCAATTGTCCGAAGAACCTGTTCTCGGAAAATGGCTCATAAAAGCAATATTTGAGGTACTAACATACGTCGCCGGTACTGTTCAAGAGGGTTCGCATCAACACTCCATTTTCAACGATTTATTTTACTAACAGAATATCGACATCTTACACTTTAGCTAAACAACAATCGAACGGTTCTAACTAATTTTTATGTTGTTTTTCCTGTTTTTTAAGGTGTTGCCTAATCATATATGCGCATTTAAATCCTAATTAAAAACCTACTAGAACAAAGCTAATTTCCTTAAATGTCCCTTGTGCTCGATTAAATAATTGTAATATAAAATAATTGTTTTTCCTAATATTCAAATCCTAACGTTCTTCTGAACAGGTACAATATTTATTTTTTAACTATCAATAATTTTTGCATCAGGTTTTGCAATATATGTAATATTTTGCGTTTTGCCAGTTATATATAATGTAGTTATAGCGTTCACAATGATTAGGATTTGCCGATTCCTTGTCACGAGTCCTTCTATAAAAGTGGAAAATTATTGCCCATGCACCAAGAGAAAATAGTGCCAAAGAGCGATGTTGTAAACATATTTCGAGTCGGTTGAAATAATTAACATCTATATATTAAGGTATAATTAAGATAAATAGTTAAGCCCGTTTTCCACCAGGCGAACTTATTCGCGCGACGCGAAGCGATATCTGAAATCCGGTAATGTGATTGGTTGCGAAAACTTTTTCCGCGAAAAAGTATAGAATCGCTTCCTACTTTTCATCTGTTCGCGCGAATAAATTCGCCACCTAGTGGGAGACGGGCTTTATCCCGGCGACGATTTAGCAGGTTGACCATGGTAAAAAATAACAAATTGCATGAAAAACATATTGTTAAAAAAATATTACGCTGCTGTCACGAAGCTAAGATCATACCCGAATTATTGCACCTCGGTTATAGTTTTAAAAAACAGACGAAAAAAAGACGTAAAAATATTTGTTAATAATCATTTAGGTCACTTAATCACATTAATAACATAGTTCAAAAAAGAAAGTTTAATTTTATCGGTCCAAAGCTGGTCCTTCATTGAATTTTAACTTTTTATTAACCGAGCGCAAGGTCTTCACCGAGAAATATCGGGCCGAGGTCTTTTTAAACAGACAGAGTTTCAAGAGCAAGATTTGTACAAAAAGATCGAGGTGCGATATTTCTCGGTAAAGACCGAGTAAGCGAGGTTATTAAAAAGTTTATTATGTGGCATAAGGCATGTATTTGCACTTGAAAAAAAAACAAGAAATGCATGAATTCGTATTAGTAGCCTGGTACGCATTTGATAAAAGCAAAAACAAAATATTGAATTATTTAGTTTACCTAAACTGTCTGGAGACGTCTTATTAATTCCAAAAGCAATTAAATTTTCTCTTGAGCATTTATTTGTGCACTTTTGTTTCCGCTCTATTACGGGAAAGTAATGGACCAGGCAATCACTAAAGCTCCGCCATATCACCGGAAGTGACGCTTTCGATATAATAATAAATCTTAATTATTTTTCATGCCCATTATAAATTTCCTCTTTTAGGAAAGAACAATCACGAAAGAAATTGAAATTGATCAGTACGGTAAGGCAGCTTTATAAATCCCGCCTGAATGACGTACTTGCATCGATCCCTTGTTTCGTACAAGGTTTTTTTATTTTTCAGAAATCAGAATTGTTTATTGTGATTACATTTGAAATTCGTATGCGACAATCACCTATACTAACGCAATTATCGCTTCTCTGTTTTAACGTAATCACCGCACAATGTGTCGTGAATGAATGTAATCCTTGGCAGCAATTAATTTCATTAATTAACCGTTGTAGCGATAATTGCGATGGATTATAATTATTATACACCTGGTTGCCGTTAACTTATAGACTTTAATCACCGAATTTGAAAATAATCTCTTGTGGCGGATCGTGACTAAAACACCACACGAGTAACACGAGTTACATACGAGTACATACGAGTGATATACGAGTACATACGAGTGACATACGAGTACATACAAGTGACATACGAATACATACGAATGACATACGAGTCAGGCTATCTTTAAAATGGGGAACGGCTAACGGGGGAAGGGGGAACGGGGGGATGGGGAATGGGGAACGGGGAAACGGGGGAACGCGCGGCCGTAAAATCGTCATTTTTGTGTGGCAAGGTAATAGTTTTTTTCAGCTTTCAGCTTGATTAAGCAAGAACAATAAGAATAACAGGAATGACTGGTAACAAGTTTCGATTTGAAGCATGCAATTTTCTTTTCAGGAAACCACCAAACGCACTTTACATATTACTTAACATTTTACCTGACAACTAAACTTTTAATTTTAATAAATTACCACCAAGGGTAATACCACCATATAATATTTTATCGCGGGAGTAATAGCAAAAAATTCATTTCAAATAATTCAAGAAATAGGTAAGTATGCTTTTACGTTCAAAATCTTATGTTACACCAGATGATTTGTTTTCCTTCTATTTAGTTCTTCCGAAATTTGAACTCGAAATAAAACCACCGTCGTATCTAGCACTGGACCAGCGTAGGATTCTGTTTTTAATATGTGCCAGGTAATTTCTATTATCAATCACTTCATCGTATTCTCAATTTTTTGTTGGTTGTTTACCTGCACGCGTTCAAATAATACTCTGAGCATGCGCATTTGTTAATTAAAAAATGTTGTTCAGATGCAAATAATACTCTGAACAAGCGCAATGATGTCAATTTTGTTAACAATAATGGCGACTCGCTTTGCTGAACTTTGGGAAATAAGTTGTATTGTTACCGAGGAAAAAACCGGAAAATACTAAAAAACAATAAGATATTGAATGTAAAAAAAATATTGAACTCGGTTCTCGCAAAATATCGTGATTTGTCGGTGGGGAGCAGATCCAATTATTTGCCGCTGCCTTCGGCATCGGATCAGCATAATTGGATCTGCTCGCCAACAACAAATCACGATATTTTGCTCGATCTCGTCCAATGATTCATTGTAGTCATTATTTTTCCAATATTGCAAAAATTGTTTTTACTGATTATTGCTGATAATTTAAAATTTTGTGACGAAATGGGAACTAGAATTTTGAAAATGAAAAATGGTCACAAAAAAGTGTAATGGCAAAACATATGCATGTGCTGACATGATGCAAAAATGCAAAGTGCAAAAAATTAATGATGGTAGTTATTAGTATTAATGAACGGTAGATATTTCTGAAAAACATGATTTGGGAGAGAAATGTCGAGAAAAGAATTCTCAATTTCGAAATAATATCTGTACGATAATAAGTTGAGGTTAATGAATATGTATTTGCTTTTACAAATGGTTCTGTCACCGGCCTGTAATCATCTCTGAAATTTTATTAAAAGGTACATGTATGGAAAGCCAGTACCTGGACGCCTGAATGCAACATTATGTCTGAAAAAATATGAAAGGAATCAAAATTGTTTACGAGAATATAACAATGTATGTACTATCTATTCATAATTTGCTAAGATATTAAAATGCATGCCTTTTTTAACCAGAACTGTAGCTAGAAACCTAATTAGGGGTGTGTGTGTATTTATACATGCCTTATATACCCGACTGATTTTTTGTACGCTACTCCCCTTGAATAGATGAATATGCACCCCAACACCAATAAATCAATATATATATATATATATATATATATTATATATATATATATATATATATATATATATATTATATATAAAATTATATATAATATAATATATATATTAATATATATATATAATATAATATATAATATATATATATATATTATATATATATATATATCTATATATATTTATAATATAATATATATATATTATATATAATAATATATAATATATAATATATATATATATATATATATATATATATATATATATATACACACCCATTTGCAAAAACGTTGGCCGCAGATAGATAGATGGATAGATACTCGAAGTCTAATTAGAATTGCATATGATTACATTTGCATGGGATTTCAATCATATTACACAACATATGCATTTCTAATTAGATTTCGAGTATCTATCTATTCTATCTATATATCTATCTGCGGACAACGTTTTTACAAATGGGTGTATATATATAATAATATATAATTATATATATATATATAATATATATATATATATATATATAATATATATATATAATTATATAGATATAAATATAATTCGCGGCTTATGTTGGCTTTTTCTGTGACGTGAGTAAGGGAATTGAGCATTTAACACATTAGCTTCTGTACAATCAATGATTATTTCCTGCTCCACGAAAAAGGGGAGGGATATTAGTGATTAAGGGGATATTAGTGATTAAATGTCTGCACACTGAGGGAGGTTTAATAAAACTTTTACTAAATTTCCCGAGGCTTGAAGTGCCTATATCACTCGTAGGATCTTTGTGCATATGAAAAGAGCGTCAAAAGTTAGTTTATACATTAAAAAACGTTTTCTGAATTAGTGCATTAATTTCGAAGATACAGGCCTCTAAACTACCTGCAATTCCTGAGTCCCAACCTCCTGGATTTAAACACAGCTATTGAATTCGAAACTGCCCATTGTTTACAAGAGCTTGGGACTCAGGAACTGCAGGTAGTTTAAGGGCTAGTATCTTCAAAATTATTGCACAAAATCAAAAAACTTTTTTAATATATTAATTAACTTTTTACATTCTTTTCAAATGCATAACGATTCCACGAGTGATATAGGCACTTTAAGGGTATCATTATTTGACCACCGATACTCAAAGCATGCGTTTAGTTTCTAATAACATGGTCGCCGAGGGAAAAAAATAATGGATTATAGATGCTTTTCTTTAGTGAGATCTCTTTATCGAAAAGGTTCAGTGATTATGACGGCTAATGACGTTCAAAGTTATGTGTTTATTTTTTAATAAGATGATGAAGAAGGGAATATAATTTATAAGGAATTAAATGAAGCTTTTTGTTTGTGAATGCTGTTATTGAATTGATTCAGCGAACGAAGAATAAAGCGATTGAAAGTTGTCGGTATATATGAATTCGTTGTTTCAGTTTATCATTAATGGATCGGTTGTGAGCGTCGCTCATCAATATATTGATGAGGTACGTTTAGAACTAAATATCCCCCCTCCCTGTCCTTAGGGGAAATACGTCTTTTAACATCCCTGTTGAAACAAGAGAAACCGGGGCGACCATGTTATTACTAATAACAATTTCATAGAAGTTTCTCAAGTCCCATTTTTACGAAATAATTAATAATAAAAGTAATTTCACTTACATTTTACGAAATTTTGGATATTACAAAAAACCTGAAACCTGTTCGAAAAGTTCAGTTACTAACTCGCATCCAAAGACAACTGAAAGACAATTCACAACAATTAAATTTCTGAAGATAACAACCCGTAATTCTCATTCTTGTAATTTCGCGTACAATTCAGTCAAGATTTACACTGTTCTATTCCTTTAGGTAACAGGATGCGTGGAAATAGATGCCAGAGAACTTATTGATTCAGCGACAGAGCAGCAATACAACAGAAGATATTATCTTCATATTGCAGCTGTGTTTACTGAGAGTGGTACTGGAGTGAAAGTGAAGGAGACTGCACGAAGCCCTTTTATGATTAGAAAATCGAAAACGATGTCATTTATTGATATTGCTGAAAAGTTTAAACCCGGATTTCCCATGACATTCAAGGTAAGGTAATCGTGCAAAATGATAATAAGCCAATGGTATATTATTCGACGTACAAGCCTAATCACATTATATAATTAGAGTCAATGAATCTTTATAATGGATTGGATTGGATTGGATTGATTCGTTAATTATTTCCAGGCACTGATTTCCTTTTTTTTTGAAATTTCCTTCTAACACAAAAACCATTTTGTGTGCTGAATTTGATGTCCTGAGACAGCTTAAGAACTTTGGATAGAGAATCTTCAGGGCATTTATTTTTGGCAACGCAAATACTTTAGTAAACTTAACCAATATAGCCGCATTTACACTATACACTCGATTTACTGTCAATGCACGGCTAATTTACATAATTTAATATTTCTGTGATACCTATGTGCAAAATGTTGCAAAATATATAATTATGCAAAATGTAGTGTTTATTATGTGTAACAATGGACATTTTTTTCTGGTTCAGGTGAAAGTCTCTTATCGGGATGGGCAACCGGTAACAAGTGCACAGTTAGAAGTCGAGGTCATAGTTAGACATTTTCATCGTGACACATCCACCAGATTATTGCAGAAAACATATACTGTCGACAATGGTACAATAGAGATTACCCTAGAAAATGTTTCGCATTTTGCCAAGAGACTCGATTTTATGGTAGGTATATAAATTCCCTATATTTTGATCCATATTCAATGATTGAACGTACCGTACGTTCAAATACCATTAGTTAGGAATAATAATAGTTCATTTCGTTTGCCAATGAAAAATTAATAAATAATAACATTTTTCGAGTAAATATAATGTCGGCATTTCTGTCTTTTTAATAGCACACGAATTGAGAATTAAAACACGTCCATTGACTTTCTCCCATGTTAATTATCTTTAGTTATCACAACTGTGTTATTACCAAAATTTTATTTCTATTACTTTGTTTCTGTGATGAAATTTTATTAATTTCTACTATTTGGCAGCAGGCGGATGCCTGACTAGCTTTAGGCCCATTTCAGATTTCAAACTTTTCATCTGAAGAATCGAATGCAAGCGAACTTACAAAGTATCTAGCTCATTAAACACGGGTTTTCACTAGGCGGAATTTTTGTTATACATTAAATAATTTAACATGTGTTTTAAATAAAACCTTTTGTACAGGCCGACTACATGTCTGGAGAATTATTGATAGAGAAGACTTCCAAAGCATGGTATTCACCAAGTCTGACGTATCTGAAATTGGTGTTGCCTCATCGTCTGCCACCAAAGGTAATGTTATCGAATATTTGCTTACAGCTTTTCGTTGAATTGCAAACGGAATTTTGTAATTCTGTTAACCCTTTTCCTCTAATATTGCAATAAAATTCCTGTTTCCTACCCAGTATTATTACGAACTACCGCTGCCGCGACAAACGCAATTAATCCTTGGCCATAATTAATCCTTAAAAATATGTAACGGGCTTTTGAAAAAGCCATTACCTACTTTGAGAATTGTAAGTGTTTAAATTACACGTGTGTGTTAGCGACATTAATTTATATAATATCCACATAAAAAGTCATTAATCTGTTGAAAAATCCTATTCCACACTTCGAATTTTTTTGCATTGTGTGTGTAATGTTTCATAATCTTTTAAACACGCCCTATACTAGTGCACGTTTATCCGTAATACACTCGAAACTATACTATTAGCTATATATTCCTATATGTAAAAAATCCACCATGACTTTTTAAATAATGATACCAATATACCATGCACCCATGGACCATTATATAATAATAACGATTATTATACTATGAATAAAAAATGACGCAGGCGGATAAACTTTTGGAAGGCAAAATCGTGAATTTGATTTGATAATTTGGCAATAGATGACGAAAATAAAGTTTGGTTACCCACATATTTCTATTCCATAAAATATTTTCGTGTGATTGGACAACCTAAAAGAAATTTGTGCAGCCAAAAAATATTTATCAGGAAAAATCTTTCCCAGTACAAAACGTAACTACATTTATTTTTTTCTTGAAATAGTAAAATGTTGGCATATCTAATCGTCACGTGAAGTTATATGCATGTGCACATAATGAAAAAGAGTTCCTTTAAATATAAATCTCTTGCTAGGAATCGAAAGGCTTTTAAGAAATAATACAGTTCGAGCTGCCATAAGCTAAGATATAAAACCGCGCATTCTGGACGTACCCATGCCGACGCTAAATAGAAAATACTTCGTTTTCATCAGTAATGAGTGGTCAGATTTGTGCTTAACAAAACCTATTTTCTTTCAGGTTGGAAGCGAAGGGTCTATCAAAGTTATGTACACAGTTCCATATAACATACGAGAAAGGATCCCCTTTTTCTATAAGGTATACGGTATACCTTTGGTAAAAATAACACACAACTTATACATATGGATTCGTGTTCAATTACATACATAATTTTTTCACCACGTATGGTAAATTCTAGAGGTTTAAAGGGTTTTAATTTCGAGGGGAATTATATACACACTTCAAATTCAAGCCCGGGACAGTTAAAGGAAAATCGAGTCAACTATCGCTCATTCGGCAGGAATCGAACCTGCGTTTTTTCGATGCCGGTGCAATGCTTTTGCCGCAGAGCTACAGAGGTATTGCTGACAAGAGCAAGTGTGGTTAATGCGTATATGATGGGAAATTCATAACCATGGAGCAGCGTGGCAGCGTCCTCAAACAACTTAGCATCCAATGTGGCATACAGGGTGTCCCAAAAAAAAACGCAACCACTTAAATATGCAAGAATATTAATATTGTTCGGGTTTGCACCATAGTTCAGCTAAAATGACTTTTAGCATTGTAAATGAAGGATTAAGAGCCATTTTCAATTCCCAGAGGTGCTTATCTATTGCGCTTTACAGCTGTATTAATGTTCTGCATATTTAAGTGGTTGCTTTTTTTTTGGGACACCCCGTATAACAACTGCCCAAAATAGACAAAACACTTCTCGACGTTTCGTCCGCAGGGACCGGAGAGTCTTTTGACGAAGGCCCACAGGTCGAAACGTCGAGAAGTGTTTTGCCTTTTTTAGGCAGTCGTTATACCACATTTGATGCTAAGAGAAAATCATACTTGAATATCCTGACTTCCATTACATATAATTTGGACAACTTTTTCCGGTTTCACTGCAATTTATTGGAATGAACCCGTAATTTATGTTCCTTATTATAATAATGTAGGCCTTATTACCAATTATATATGGCCTATTATGCTATAGACACTTTATCAAGTAAAAATTTTGAAGTTAATGCTTTTCTCTTTCTTAGATTCTGTGCAAAGGAAATCTAGCTCGGTCAGATGTGATCTGGGTGACTACGAATTGGGAAAATAAAAATCGTACTTTAATCAGAAATCAAAACAACTTTTCCTACAACGGACAAACCATAAGGGGAATGACAATGAATGAATTTGAGATTAAATTTGATGTCACCCAAGAAATGGTTCCCGAATGTAGAATCTTAGTCTACTATGTCCGGAGGGATAAAGAAACTGTGGGAGATAGCATCTTTTTTGACGTTGAAGACACATTGGAAAATCAGGTAACCCACATAAAAGACTATTGCCTGGAACCACTATGACCTGTCTGCCCATAAATTTTAATAAAGGGGTTTAGCAACAAAAGTGCCATTGTTGATCTATACGTTTAAGAGAATCTTCTGTAGGTATCTATTGGTTCGACGAGCAAGAGAAAAGGCCTGGCGATATGACAATAATCGTTATAAAAGCAAAGCCTGGATCACGAATAGCCATTTCTGCGCTAGATAAAAGTGTTTTTCTTTTGGGAGAAACTGATGAAATAACGAAAAAAGATGTGGGTAAAAACATGTTATCGCAAAGTTTTGCAGGTTGTTGTTGGGGTTATGATAGCTAGATTCGTCTGTTTATTCGCATGTTGAAGATTCTTTCACCTTTATGTATACCTCTGCTTTTACACTTTATGATTATTTTAAACACCTATGCATAGGGTGAATTTACAACTATTTATTTATTCCAGCAAAGCTTGTTATAATAATAAGCGAGCATTTTAATTGCTTATTTCCCATATAACAAAGGTGGCCGATAGTTTGTATACTAATCCAGACAAATAAGAAATCATCTGATGTGAATATGAAAACCATATTAATTAGTTGCATGCAGAGGCGTAACTACGACGACAATTGGGATCAGGGTATATCAATTAATGAACAACCCCCCCCCCCCCCCCCCAATTATTGTAGTTACGCCCCTTGCTACATCCTTTTCTTGGCTAGGACTATTTGCAAAAAAACTTTAATTAAGCTCGTGACACTCTCAGATACTCTTGCGAGTTGCTGCAACTACATTGCCATTTTTGAGGCAGCTGTTTCACTTTTTGATAAGCAACAAACAGTAGCGTAGCCAGCCTGTCGATTTTTCCCGCTATGCTAATATTAGTGTCACTGACTGCGAAAACAATAGATTTCTAAAGACATGGGGAATTATAACCTCGAAATTTACATCGAGGGACAAAATCGTCAGGCTGGCTACGCCACTGGCAACAAACATTAAAAAGACGTATGTATTGCTAGTGGCGTTGCCAGCCTGGCGATTTTGTCCCGCTATGTAAATTTCGTGTTATCATTTTATAATTTATTTCTTTAGAAATTCATTGTTTCATGCAAAGTCAATAAACACCAAAAATTAGCATGTTGGAACAAATCGTGAGGCTGGCTACGCTACTGCGCATTTATTGCTACCATTCGCTACCCGTATGTCGTTTTCACGTTTGTCATGTAGCTACCGTATATCGCTCTTTAAAATTGCAATTATTTGATTTTAGGCAACGGAAATTCTTAGAAGACAAGGAGCTGGTCGAATGAGCGCTAGGGATTTCTCAAATTGCAAGGGGTCGTTGAGGATGCCTCTTGAAACTGATGTGTCCGAAACCTTTAACGTAAGTACTATAATTATAAGCTCCCAAACTTTAACTAAAAGATAGTTGCATTTTGTTTTTGCGTGCTTAAGATCAGGTTACTATACATGCATATGGCAGCCCAGATAAGCGCAAAGATGTCAAATGCGTCAAACCCAGGCCTAGGTTTTCAGGGAACCTGAATATTCCACAAAGGAAAAAATCGTTCAAAAGGTTCAGATGTTTTTGGTAGATCTGGCAATACAAGATGTTACGTTAAAAATCATATGAAGTATGCTACCAAGGAAACCACATGTCCTCGACTTCGGCCCTAGATTAACAGGAATTTTGTCTGTGAAGTAATATTTAACTTCCAAGTCCATTGGATTGTCCATGCAATTGTGTATAATGCATGCAGATTAGTCACACCTGCAATTAACAAGCATGAATAAGTTAAAAATAAACTAATAAAATTAGATCTGCACTGGTTTGTTCCGAAACTACGGGTTAATTGCGCAGTAATTCATTTCATTAAATCTTTAGAGAAACAAAACAAATACGCTTTCGCTCGAACATAACTGACAATATAGGATTCCAAAACGTTGTCAGATATCGTAAAATTCTGCGCTGTACAGCCAATCAGATTGCTGGAAAGGCTAGGATTCTGCCCGCCACCGATTTGCAAAAAAATAATATCGATTCTTATAGCTCAAGTGACTCTTTTGTTTAAAGTCATAACGAAAGTACAAAATCCCCAAGCGTTGAACCTAAATCTTTATATTCAGTGTTACAAATAGTCGACTATAAATCCCTTAAAAAGAAATTTTCATGATCTAATTTTCATATAAACTTTCAAACAAGGACGGGGAAACCATCGGTCACCGGGAAGAACGTACCCCCAACATTTTAAGTGAATAGAAAAAGTGCTCATATTAAGTGGAATGCATGTGCCCTTTTTGGTTTTTGCATGGCTAACATTACTGGTATACCCTTCTGAAAAATAGAAAATTGTAAAAATAAAGATATATATTCACATAAAATTATGTTTTTATGTTTATCGTAGAATGCTGGTGTTGTATTTTTCTCGAGTTTGAGGATTTTCACTCAATCGTGTCGTCCACCACTACCAACTTCAGCACCGTCTTATGACTATTTGAGGCCATATGGCTGTTTTCTTGGATTCAGAGGTTTGTTTGTCTAAGCTTCAAAAACCAACCTCGTTCCCAGGGCCAAATTTTCCTAATTGATGTGTAATGAGCGGAATATTTTGTAATTATTCCGAAATAGTGCAATTCCAATATGCTTTAGTGCGACAATATTATCCGTTCAACGTTACGCCGTCAATTTGAATAGTTTTCCGTTATAGTTAAAGGCGACGTTATAATTTCCTTAAATAGACACAACATTAAAACCATCCAGTGAATTTTTGTGCACTTTAAGCCAGTGGTTGATCTGTTTGGGCTATTGTGGAAGAATATATTTCGCGACTAAATTTTAATTCAAATTTTTTTTTAATCCATTTCAAGCAATTTCTTTGTAACTACAACACGTCAAGTGTTAATTCTAACGTTGATTCTTTGGCATCCACGACGAACGATGAACATAAAATTCGTGTGTTTTCACTTGCAGTATTTCTGCTGAATTTCACAACGTTTAAATTTGACAGGGAATTATGGCGAGGCAATCGAATTACCTTTGCCGACTGATGTCGTTCCAGGATCAGTACTACCAAAAATATCGATTTTTGGTAAGCAGTATAGTACGTGTGTGACCATGCAATAGATATATGTATAAATATAGACAAATGTAACCTTTTTAAATAAAACCTTCAGCTGTTTAAAGAGGTTCGTAAATAATAGTTCATTATTAAAAGATCATTTTAAATGCAGTAATTCACACCAACATTGGGTTCCTGGTTTTTGGCAAACACCCCTCGTGCTTGTTGCAACAGCGGAATTACTATCTATAAGAGACCTAGCTTGTAAATTCGGCAAGCGAGGCCCCATCCCGACAAAACTCCCTCATGGAAGAATCATGTTTTACTTTAATCATTTCTTTAACGTTTTTATGTTGTCACAACGGATCTAGGGACATTGTCTTGCGCATTTTTTCAATCTATCAGAATGGTAAACCGAAAGGGCTAAAGATGCAAATTGCGTACTCAGCGATGCTACCGGGCATTCTTGATAACAAGTCACGGATAGATTTGTGCCTACAGAAATATATCCTAGGAAAACTGTTATGAAAACCTTTTTCAGTTTTACTGTTATCGTTACTATTTGGTCCCATAGTTTTAAACATTTTTTGACTTGAACAAGATTTCTCTTGAACGTTATCTATTATTTGTATATTATATAATGTATAACCTTGGTGTAACTTTTCACTTAGGTGACATAATGGGCCCGGCTCTGGCAAATTTTGATGGGTTGTTGAGCATGCCAGGTGGTTGCGGGGAACAAAACTTGGCTAAATTTGCGCCGAACATTTATATTTTGGATTACCTTACGGCAACAAATCAAATAACAAAGAAGACTAAAGAGGACGCGCTAAGATATATAACCACGGGTATTAAAATGGAACTTAGCTTCTTCTTCTTAATGGAGATGAGAGAGAGGGAGTAAATAGGTATTTCGTACATGTTTGATTCCTGCCGGAGGACCTATAGTTGATTTTTGACAACGTTCCAGACTTCAATTTGAAATGTGTATAAATCCTCTCGAAATCATGGCCAGAAAATTCGGACATAATTAACATTCTACTTCCGCCTAAATTTGCATATGGTGTCAAAATAAAGCTTCGTGAGTTTATAGTAAACTGTAATGTGCACAGTACTAAACGCTAAAAATACACCTTTAGGTAGGTCGACTATAATTTGCCTTAATTGCTCGTTGCAGAGCAAGTTAATCTTAATATTTTTTTATAGTATTTCAAATTGTTTTATCAGTATTCGTCCTGCATCTTCAAAAAAAAGTTTCGGTCATTTATCACGTTGAATACCATATAAAACGAAAACCGTAATAGCGTAGAAATAAATAAAAATGCAGAGCCGACATAAACCTTTACCAGCAAAATATTACCTCAGGATCTTTAATATGACACGAATTACAAGAAACAACCAGGGAAATTGCAAAGATGCAATGATTTTCTTAAATTTTGCGAAATTTAAGAATGCGCAATATAATTTATAGTTCTGCAAACGAATAATATTTGAACAGATATGCAAATTTGCTACGGCAATCTGCATATTCCATGTCCGCAATTTCTGGCCATGTAAGACCCTTTAAACCTCTAGACTCTAAAACCTTGTTTAAATGCTACCAAATCAGATAGTAAAATTATTATTTTAGTTTTGTGAGCTATCAGCTATCTTGGCAAATCATGTTTATTAAAGACATTCATCCCTTCAATGTTAACATATTAATTATAATATCAGTAAAACCCGCACGTCAAAACCCAAAATCCTTTGTTTATTTTTAAATTTTGATTGGAAATATGCAAAAATGTGAAAAATAATATGATTAGTGAAGGACGAAGTTGTGAGACAGTGAGAAAGCGACATGAGCAAAACGCTAAAAGTTTCGAGATTGGGGGCTGAAAATATAGAACTGCCTTGTTTCAATCACATTGAAATAAATTACACAGCGGAGAGCAAATCTCATTTTATTTTTTTCTGTGACAATATTAAACAGGATACCAGAAGGAATTAAGATACAGACGAGGAGAAGGTGAATACAGTGCATTTGGATCCAGAGACAGGAAAGGAAGTGGGATGTAAGTCCAGCCTCTTCCAAATTAACTTTGCATTTAATTTTTATGCCAACCATGTTCAACCTCATTTTTTTTATTTCTGCTCCATGCATGTATATGTATTATGATTTTTATGTTTTAGTTGGTGTTCATTATGTTATATTAAATTACTCGTACGTGTAAAATTTAGAATTGTTGCGTGTGGAATCAGTCTTCATACTTTGCGGTTGTTACAAATATTTGCTAAATGAAAAAAAATATTATGTATAGGATAACGGCATTCCTAATTCGTTTATATGCACGAGCGCGGAGGCATGTGTTCGTTGACGAAGATGAAATCAAACAAAGCGTTGGATGGTTGAAGCAAAAGCAAAAATCGTCGGGTTGTTTCCCAGTGAATGGTCAGGTTTTTGATCGATCACTTCAGGTACGGAAATTGATATTTGAGGCACTCAGCGGGAATAATGATTATGATTATTTTATTTAATCACGAACATGTTTTCCGACTATGCGTGTTTAACATGATCAATAACTCATTGAACTAAGTTTAATGCGGAATAAGGCTGGCTTAGTTTGTTCCCAAAGTTCCGTATCTTCTAATTTATTAAATTTTAGGGTGGGGTGCATCGTGAACTTATCATAACAGCCTACACCACAATCGCCTTATTGGAAGCTGGCTTTAAAAACGTAGGTGTCTCCAAAGTATTACCAAGATTTGATTAGGCCCATTTTATTGGCTCTTTGATGCGGCCGATAGATTGAAATAAAATTTTGATTAATATTGGTACGTGGTAAGCATGCACGTGTATGCCATACGAAGAAAGAAAGATAATCTTTTGTGAAATACTACTTAGTCGGCAATAATATTCACATTATGCGTCTGGATATCACAAAATTTGCAAGAAATGAAAAAAAATACTATAATGATTTGGTTTTTTTAAATATTTCATATATTATTTTAGAATTGTTCTTAACAAAGGTACACCTCCTTGCTTTAGGATACTTGTGTAGCACTTCAGGCTCTCTCAATAATATTCACATCGTCATGCGTCTGGATGTCACAAAATTTGCAAGAAATGAAAAAAAAATACTATAATAAATAATTATCCTTTTTCAGACGACGATGGTATCAAACGCTCTGGATTGTATTCTGGGAAAACTTGATGATACTATTCTAAACGCCTACGCTACTTCCTTAGCGACATACACATTGATATTGGCAGATCATCCTAAAGGAGGAATAATGTTGTCTCGTTTGAAAAACATGGCAATCAGTTTGAAAGGTGGGAACGATTGTACTATTCTGTTCATAATCCCATGTTTGCAGTCGCTGTATTACCTAATTTAATTTTTGCAATTAGCTTCCTGAATCGAACTTTTTGATTTGGTTATTGTGTTGTCCTTCTCAGTTGTTCATAACGTCTCGTTCAGAAACGAGAGGGCACTGCGAAGGTATTTTTTTCCCTTGCGGTCGTCTGCGGTTTCTATTGGTCAACTGCGACTGCATGAACCGCGACCGGACCGGACCGAATCGCAACCTAACCGCAACGGAACCGTTACCGCAGTATTAGGTTATTTCTGGAGAGTATACTGTACAAAGTTACGTTAGGTCAAGAACCAATCACTTCAATCTTTAAATACCATTTGAACATGTGCTTAACACCAAACATGCTGATGTTAAAAAGTTAATTCGGTTATGATAATAGTAATATTTGAAGATATTTTTGTGATTTAAGGCGGACAACTCTACTGGTCAGCAAAAAGCACAGGTTCTGGTGCCTCTGATAGAGGTACATTCAGTTCAGTTGCCGCTGACGTAGAAACCACTGGATATGCTTTATTGTCCTACCTCCACCACAAAGAACACAGTGAAGACGTAACCAAGATTGTTAAGTGGTTATCAAAGCAACGCAATCATCGGGGTGGATTTTCTTCCACACAAGTAAGTACGCGATACGTTACGATACGAGATTCTGATAAGTATCGGTTTTCTGAAAAAGAAAAAGTGATCGATTTGTTTTTTCTAATATCATATATTATTTTACAATTGTTCTTAACAAAGGTATACTCCTTGCTTTAGGATACTTGTGTAGCACTTCAGGCTCTCTCTGAAGTTGCTGAAATATATTATTGGGGAACACGCAGATGAACTGACCATATCCGCGATTATCAACAATAGATTCTCGCAAGAATTTGTCATCACTGACATTAACAGGTTGATATTACAACGGTCGAAAATTCCAAGAAAACTTCTGCCAAATACTCTGACATTAAATGCATCTGGTTCGGGATGTGCTTTTGTGCAGGTAAATAGATATATCCGGCGTCAAGCTAACCTTTTCCGGCTAGAATATGCATATAATTATTAACTTGAAAAATTCAGTGAAAACACCGGCATATATGAAAAAATTTAACGTTTTTACGTATTTCGTCAGCAAAGGAATAAAACTGAGTACATCTATAGAATAAAAATTACCTATAGAAAACAAAAATTGAATAAAAATGATACTTGCATCAAATGACTCAGTGTTGTAATCACCGTTTCAATTTTCTCAAATGCTAGATTTCAGTATTCATAAATATAAAATTTCAAATGCTATCACCTGTAATTTGACAATGTATAATCATTAATTGTACCATGGATAATAAAACCAGTCTTTTAATTATCCATGATTGTACTGCAGTACAGTAAATGAAATCTTTCCAGCGTTCAGCATCCAGTAATTTCCGTATGCTAGAATTTACAGTAGGGAAATTTTAACCAAATCTACCCAGGAATTAAGGAAAGAGTGCATTGCAGTATTCAAACGTTATATCTGATGTTTACAATCTAATGTTTTAGGTATCGGTGAAATACAATGTACCTGCTATTGAAATACCGTCGGCGTTTGATCTTAAGACTTCCGTTCATCGTCGCGATGCAAGAGAGGAAGAAGAAACTACCTCATGTCATCCATTGCGACTGCAAATTGAAGCAAAGTGAGTCCGCCAATACCGTCTAACCGTCACCCGCATCTTTTCTCATTAAATTAAAGAATTAATTTTTTATGTAGCTTAGCTGAGTTTTACTTTCTCATATGTTGGATTTCAGTATTACAAACATTAAAACTTACGATCTCTAAACCTGGGCTATATTCAAAGGAATTTTCAAATTAGTTAAATTGTTAAATATCGCTTAAGTATCATGGTTGAAACATTGCGAAATAGATAACATAGCTGATAGGGATTGATATACATGTTACTACCACATAGAAAGAGGTATAATATTTTGATAAAATTTAGTAATTGTGTGAGCTAGCGGAGTGGCCTGTACCCACGTTTTCTAAAAAGAACACTTGCATAAATTACACTTGTACAAAATCATGTAATGGACTTTATAAATATTGACTTAGATGGCTCAAAAAAGATGTTTCCAATATGGCAATAGTGGATGTTAAACTTGTGTCTGGATTCATCGCGAACAAAAAATCTCTGGAATTGGTGAGCAATGAATTCTATTTTTTGACATATACATTTTGAATCGGTATTTTAATTCGTAAGTGGTGTATCGTTTTTTTGATTCTCCTGGTAAAAAAACTGATTCCGTAAGTTTATAGACTATTAGATTCTCTTTGTCCGAAAATTGTTTGTATTATTTGCCTCTTATTGTCCCGGGCCACGTGTCGTGACGTTTCACTCCATGCCTATGGCCTTTTCAAATTTATCTTAGGTTTATCAAAATTAGTTCTCCTTATGTCGTTCTTATCTTGCCCAATTATTCTTTGGAATTTAAAATCGTGTAAATATAACACAAATCTATTTTATTATTAAGGAGAGCCTATTATTTATATGCATCTCTGCCATAAATTAAAAAATAGGAAAATGTGCTACCGAGTCTGTATACCTAGGTTAAATTTTGCATGAAAACTATACAACTGTAAGACTGGTTTTCTACTACCTATATTTTAAGACAATTGTCTATCCGCTGCAATTTATCCCTCTGTCTTATTCGCCCCTAAATTTTATTTAATGTGACAATTTTCCATCTTGTGACATTGTTCTCCTCAATTGGCGTTATCCCTATACTAACAAAACAATGTAATCATTTCTTAGAAATTAAGACACTCAAAAAATGTTGCTTCATGCTCAACTCGTTCAAACAATGATGAAACACACTTAAGAAGATACGAAATTGATGGACAACGTGTTATCCTTTATTTTAACAAGGTAACTACTGTAAATTATATCACCTTCCAATGTTAAGCGCATTCTGACAGCTTTACAAGTTGTACGGCCGCTTCGTCAAAATCGGCTAAAATTATTATAACCATTTGCATAAAGTTAAGAAATAAAAAAAGATAGACCAAGCTTTTTGCCAAATTTCTAGAAAGTGCACGTTGCAATAGTTATAGTTCCATATAATCTTTGTTTAAAGAGTATTATAGGGTGTGAACTCATCATAGCACTTTTTTGAAAAACATTTATTAACGCCATTACTACAATAGCATTATATACCAAAGTGATCACCGAAAATTCTTCGCATGGACTTGTTACACCTCGGTTTTTTTCAAAATGGTAGAAGTATTTTTGTCAGAAGTTGAAGTATATCTTTTAAACATACTGTACGAAAAAAAAGACAAAAATCTATTTTTTTTTTAAAAGTCATTTGGCTTAAGCCGTTGAAAGAGTGAGTGAAATGTAAAACTAACTTGTAATTACACGAAAGCTATACTTTGCTCCGGGATCATCACAGATTAGTCTCATTTTGTCCTGGTCGTTATTCAACAAAGCAAATAATCGTCAATTTGATAAGAGAATTATGGGTTATTGACTATTCCTTCCAGATAAAGGCTATGATTTTCTCGCTGGATATAATACAGAGTACTGTGGTGAAGAACGCCCAACCTGGAGTTGTCAGTGTTTATGATTATTACGATCCAGGTATCAGCAAAAAGATTTTAATACTTGATCATTATTAACCATCAAGTTACTCATTGTAACGAGTATGACCACATAATTATCATATTTCCACCGACAAATATCAATAACTTATTCGGAAAAGGTTGCGATTCGTCTGTGCAATAGGTTATGAAAAATATGGTTGAACTAACCTATTTCGATTTCGTTCATATCCACATAACAATAGCAGGGCTGCCCAGATTGTGTGGGCAAAATAGAAAATTAGCCCCGCGCCCTAAGGTTTGCAGGAATTAATTTAAAGCATTGTTTATTTCAAGTATACCGTTCAGTTTATGGGGAGAAATAGTTCCGTTAATGCTATAATTTATATTACTACTAATTAATGCTGAACGTGAATATATGAATATAGCTCCCACGGCCCCACCTAAGGATATTCTGCCGTCCTTGGGCCCGTAATGAAAAAGAAACTCTGTGCGACCCTGAACAATAGGATTACTAAGTGAGAAACTCTCAAAATTTCCCAGTTTGCGTTTTTGATATTTTCCTGTGCATGTATGAAACGTATTTCGTACCTTTCGGACGGCAATCTGCTGAGTACGAAGTTATATTCTTTATTGAAAGTCTGGTATGTTGACCAAATGTACTAATCTTTTTTAGATAGCCAAGCAAAAATTTTGTACAACATCACTGAAAATGACTGCCATGGAAGGGAAAGAAGTAAGCCTGTTTTTAGCTTTTATGCCTCATTATAGCATTTGCAGCTTCAAACTAACGTATATGACTTGACAAAACAATCGATTGCTCAGTTAGCGAAGAAAATAGAAAGTTAAATCTATGTTTGGGCATCATTTTCTACAATTACGTCCTAATTTTAAGGTTTCTTTCATCAAGACGCCTCGGCGCTGCAGGGCTAATATAGAAAACAAATAGCTATAGCTATACTAATTTATGTCTGAGATCTGAGTATGTAAATAAACATTCAAATCATCCAAAATCCGATACACATGCCATTGGTACTGTTCTAGTCCTATTATAAACTGTGATTACATTCCATGAAACAAGTTAATAATAAAATTATAGAATTTACATACAAAATATTATATGTCATATTCGGTTCAATTGCAGAAGGATGTCCATTGACACCTTGTGGTTCTCACAGTCACTGTACAAATATCAATGGTTCCTACACCTGCCAATGTGAATCAGGCTATACATCATCCAACGGTGGACAATCTTGTACAGGTATTTGTGACTATGACCTAACGTAATATTCAAATGTACTTAATGTAGTCATTTCACTTCATTTTTTTCGAACGTAGAATGATATTGAATTAGTCCTGAATTATTCAATCAGTTTCACCTAAATTTCTTAATATAGGTCTATTGATAATGCTAGCTAGTTTAAACCCTAAATTGCACGAGATAGTAATTTTGTAAGTTCTGTTCAAGGCAGGCATTATAATACGGAATTTTTACAAGGACACACATTGTCTTTAGGTTCAATAATCACTTAGTCTTAGAAATTACAACGTGAAATTACAAGGCAAGCATATAAAAAAGAGCATAGCCGTGCAAAGCACGGTCCGTCAGTCTCTAGCCTTTTTTAATATATAATATATTCAATAATGTCAATTTTATAATAGAAACAATAATTATTTTAAATAGTCAAATGAAAATTATATTAGACATTTTTGTCCATGAGGCATGATTTTTAAGTACACACTTTTCCATTTACAAGGACACATTCGCCTTTTACAAGGACACAAAGTGTGTCAAAAACACGCGTATTATAATGCCTGGTTCAAGGACTTTTTGCCACCAAAAGTTGATTTGGGGTTTTTGGGTGCATTGCCTGGCCATGGCAAAGTTTCCTAGGAAAACGGGCCTTTAAAACGTACATTGTTATAAACTGTAAAGCTAAGGTTAAAATTTCCTATGCGTCGATGTTGCAACGTACATTTATGGGATGTTTAAATAGCTTTTAAAAATTAAGAAAGGTTATCATAACCCCCTAAAAATAGGTCTACTGAATTAGAATAGGTAATGTCAAACTAATTTACCAGATTTAACTTGTAAAGATAGGTTCAATAAGGCTATTTTAATCTAGCTTCTTGTTATTATAACGACTTATTTTAGAGCGCTTCTATCAGATTTATCAAAACGCTTGTTCAATGAATTTTCATAAATTTATATAATTATTGTCAGATTATGGATATAATTATCATATTTCTATTCTTTCAGCTACAGAATGTCCTGAGGACTGGAAAAAAATCGACGGCCTTTGCTTTTACATTAGCAATGACACTGCGTCTTCATGGAATAGTGCACGAGATGACTGTCGTGAACGTGGCGGCCATTTGACGGTTCCAACCAACTCCGAAATGAATGGTATTGTCCTACATGCCATCCAGCAACGTAACATTGAATCAGTATGGATTGGCGTTTATAGGAAATATGAAAGAAAGTTCTACGAAGTGGGTGGTGATGAGATATTTTACCACAACTGGGATTACATGGAGCCAAACAACGTGTGGGAAGGAAAACTGCGTCGAATTGCGAAACCTACCCCATTTCTCAAAAAAAGGGGATGGAATGATGTGCCATGTAACAGGAGCGATCTTCATTACGTTTGTCAACGTTGTTTATAAGTATATCGCAGCATATACAATTATTGCAGTAATGGAGGATAATTTCCCAGGAAAGATTAAATAGCGTGATTGGAATATAGACTCTTAGACTTATTCTTGCTAATGGTAGTTTTCTTTTGATTCAAGTTTGTAATTAATTGAAATAAACGAAATCTCAAAGCAATTAACTCATTTTTTTTATCCGCCTATTTTCCTCCAGTTTTTCAATTCCAGGCTTTTGTAACCGGACGTATAGACGATGATGAACCTAGCTTTGGTCCATATATGTATCCGTGAACCCGTTAGCGACGAGAAATGGCTTGATAGTCATCGCATGAAAAAACAGCCTTATCACGATCGCTTACAAGATCTCCGAAGGACACTTGATGGAATTAAGAAAGTGGAATAATGGTTTTCGTTTAATAACGTTTTAGTTGCGTCTTAGCTTGCGTGACATTGTTTCGTACACCCACACAAAGCTATAGCAGATTATATTTCAGGTGTAAATGTGGCTGTCGTTTAGAACTTCTTAGAGTGCAGTGCTCCATGGAAATTGAGGAGTGCAAAGAAGTTCTGAAGAGCAAGCTTGTTATACAGGAATTAGGAAATGGAGATTTTGAAACGACACCAGCATGCATTGTCGCTTTCAAAGGACAGGTGCTTGCCTGCACCTAATATTGTCCAGAACGGAAACCAAAACGGCTTAAAGTGATTTAATTAGTTCTCATTTCCAAAATTATTTTGATATATCGAAATCGAGCCTTCAGATGATTTTTGCCGATTTTTTATATAAACATGCAAAATTATATGAATTATTGCATCACCGACGGCAAGCATTTCACAATAATAAAAATATTGAGAAAAAAATTCTGGCAAAAAAACTAAAAACTCACACCTTGGTCCAATTTTTCGTTAGGAAGATTTTGGATCAAATTTACCGTAGGGAAAGGCATCACGGAGACTTTTTCAGTGAACTGAAATAAGACTAGAACGCTAGCTGTAAGAAAAATTTGGTGGAATAAGAAGACTTTCTTGTAGATATTGACCCAGGCAATTTTTAGGTAAAAATAGCGGCAATTTGATTTTTCTTTGAGTTTCCGCACCAGAGGCCTGGGTCATACCTAGAAGAAAGACTTCCAGTTCCACCATCTTGGCTTCACTCATTATAATGAGGGAAAGTCAGAGGGTTGACGTTCCAGTCTTATTTCAGTTCATTGTTTTTTTGTCACATTTTCCAACCGCATGACAACATTCCGAGCACGCAGTAAGCACGCGCATAGCAACGATTATCGCTTAGAAATTATAAAAAGCTATCCGATTATTTTGCCCATCGTACCCCAAAAATTAATCGGAATTATAACAGAATGACAGTATGTAAAACTCAGACAGTTTTGAAGAGAACAGAGGAGTGAGAGGACAAAAAAAGGAGGGAAAACACGGAATTTCTGAAGTATATGTTTGCTATGAGTAATTTGAGTAATTTGAGATAACAAAGCAACCTATTATTCCGGGGTCTTTAGCCCAAATAAGTACTTGCAGAGATATTTAGTTTTGCTTCTCCCAACAACATTGTTGGGTGTGTTTGATGTGAGACGTGAGTGTGTTTTAAACACAATCAGTTGCCAACGGCAATTATTTTTATTTTTGTGCTTTTGCTATGCAAAATTCCTGGTAAAAGTTGAAGGCCGTTGTATAAATCGAATGTATATATTGCTGACTTAAGCTATTTAAAATTTTTATTACATTATTATGAAATTTATTCTGTTAATTGCTTCGCTCCACTGGATATTCCTGTTGTTTTTGTAGAAGCATATTCAACGTTAAAACGGCCATGCACAGCTAGATACTCGAGCTCTTCAATTGAGTGAAGCAGCATGTATTTTTGGCAACTACATCATGGGGACCTACGTAAATTCAATACATACACTCTGGGGACTAAACGGTTTGTGGGGACTTAAAACGAGTCCCCATAGTGTTTTCATCTAAATTCTGGGAATTGGTGAAGTTTAAATAATTATATAATATCGAGTTTCAATCGGCCACAGCTAGATACCCAAGCTCGTTATTTAGAGTGATTCAGAGTGAAGTAGCATGATAACAGCTGATGGCCTCAAGATGAATGCCCTGGTATAATCCTATTTGGCAATTGTTCCAAGTAATGCAATATATTTTTCCGAACCGAAAGTAAAATTATTGAAATGCCTGTAATTGTAATACGAGTAGAATTAGGATTATATGGCTGATGGTAAGATATTAGTATTACTAGCATTAGGGTTATTAGTAGACATATCAAGTTAAAGCATTTTTCTGCGGATTTTCCAGGATCAACGATATTTCGTTGAAAGGGTAAACAGACTTTTAACAAACGCATGCAAAACGTTTTGACAAAACGTTTCAGTTTGATCCGAAAGGTGTATAAAATTCTGACTTATATTTAGACGTACTTTGGTGTTCTCACGTGTGGATACAATGAACACGAAGCTTTCACGCAATTGCTATATAGGCTATAGCAACGCTGAACATTTAATCAGTTCTCCGGCGATTCTTACTGTTCATTTTCCCAAGTAATGCAATCTATTTTTGCTGCATTAAATCAAAAGAACATTCCAATCTCGTATATAGCTATATATAAATCGAACGTATTGCCGACTTAAATTCAGTAGCACGACAATTGTCATGCTATATATGCTAATATTTGGTGTTTATTGATTGTGAAAACAATGAATTTCTAAAGATATGAATAATGATAATAACACAAAATTTGCAACAAATGACTAAATCGTCAGGCTAACTACGCCACTGCTTAAGCTATATTTATGAACTTTATTAGCAAATTTCTGCTTTTAATTACTTGCATGGTTCCTCTGAATATCCCTGTTGTTTTCCTATATTATACAAGTATATCGAGTTTAAAACGGCCAGATAAGATTTTCAACCTCGTCATTTAACTGCATGAAGTAGCATGAGGACAGCTGAGGGCTCAATATGAATGTTCTGGTATACATCGCTGGGTAGCGTGCATTGCCTAAGTTACTTACAAATTCAAATTAAATGAAAAACCCTGGTTCTGTCAATAGATATTTTCATTCTGTTCTTCTTAATTCATAATATATAGATATACGTTTATAGTTAAGGCTACATGTATAGTTCAAGGTTCAGGATTAGGCCTGGTAGACGGTCCTGATGTTTTGCATACGGCATTAGCACATTCATAGCAAAGTTACCACACGCTGGGTAATTCCCAGTATTTGTTGTTCTAAGTACTGCAAAACATTTTTCAGAAGCGAAAGTAAAGCGAACGTATCTGTATTTCTCATACGAATAGAAACACGATTATGGCTGATGGTAAGTTATAGCAAGTATCTAAGCGTTAAAGCATTTTTCTGTGAACTCTCCGGGATGTACGATATTTCGTTGAAACGATAAATACAGACTTTTAACGAACGCCTGGAGAACGTTTTGACCTATATTATAACGTTTCAATTTGATCTGAAACATGCATAGATCACCGTATAAATAATATATGATAGCAAAATGAATATGACTTGATTACTTACTATAATGTAAGTTATTGTGCTATTCAAGTTGCCGATCGGGCAACCTAAAAGAATAGCTCAAAAGCTAAAGGACTCTGATTTGCTAACCATTGCCTATAGCCAGTCCATTAAATAAGAAAGTATATATAAGATTTTGAGAGCACAATTTAGTCCCTTACATATCTCTGTGCATGGCACCCAAAGTGATATATAGAGATATGATTATAGTAGGACTTATAGGAATTAATAATGTGTTAATGTAACGATGAAACCTCAAGGGCTGCATGCTTACAGTGACGCGTTCTTACGCTTCAAAAAAAAACAAGATACATATTTTCCTCAAGGTGATTTCCTCACGACAATTTTGCACACACAATGCGTTGCATTGAGCTAACCATAACATTGAGCTCTTGTGGTATGAAGGGGGCTTTTGTAATACAATTGCAATATGTGACAAGGAAGAAAACATGAGATCAAAATAGGTCTCGGAAAAGTATTAATTGTCGAGTGAACAAGTTAAAATTAATATAGCCTAGTAAATATATCTACATTTTCAATAGCTAAGTAGCTAACACTATATGCGAACATATAATATACACATTCTTACTTATATTTAGACGTAGCTATGTGTTCTCGCGTGTGAGTACAATGCATATATACAAAGCTTTCACAAAGTGGGCATTGCATTAAACTTTTAATCAACTTAAATATTCAAATCCGGCATCTCAAACTCTCATTTATAGAAACTTTCACATAAAATTTCTGCTTTTAATTGCTTGGTTGACAAACATATATAACAACTTTTTTATACTGTTTTTAAAACATTCTAAACAAGGAATATGACAAGAAAAAAAATATAAATTAATGAAATCAAAATTTCCCGGCTAAATAAAACCTTAATTCTCTATTGAAATCTATGGAAATATATAATGTATACAGCACTGCATGTAATAGGCGCTAGACATAATTTTGCAGTAAATACAAATTTTACCGTTAATGTTCACCGTAATTTGTTTATGCTGATGGTGGCAATGGAACACCCGATTATGGTTTGGTAGTCCATGCAATGCTCTTCCAATTTATCTTAGATAATAATATTATCCCCGAGCCGGTGCGGAGCACCGTGCGAGGGTACTAATTCCGCTCGGATATTTACACCCACGAAATGCGAATGCGAAATCAAAGTCGTCCGCCATTATGCAATGGACCTCACGCCATGGACGGTCTTCTACGTTATGCGCATGCGCCATTGTGAACTACTAAGCTCTTGATTGGTCGAGACAAAAATTTGTATTTTCAAACGTCAATGAATAACTGTCATTTACCAAAATTTTGAAGAAATTTATAAATTTATACTTTTATAAATATAGAATATATTTATTTTTACTAAATTAGAGGGAAAGTCGAATGTGGTCAGGACTTTTCACTGTTTAACAAATAACAAGACCAAATTTTCGACCGAATTCACCGTGTATAATGAAGTCGGAAGATTTTACACTTCATAATATTTCATCCGGCACAGCTTCAAAAAGTAATTCTTTTGTGGCAAACACAACTTTAATATTCTCAAATGTATTTCACTATAAATCTGAATGTGTTATGTGATAAACGACATTATAATTTTATTTATAAACTCCGTTTTCCTAATGACAAAAAGAAAACAAAATGAAAACATTCCCGTACAAAAACCAGTCGAAGCGCTGTATGAGACGTCTGATGTTATATTTCATGGTATTTAATAATTAAAATAATTTACCATAACACTGACTATATAGGAGATATACCATTGCTTGAGTCAGGATTCAAGGCAGGACTCGAGCCAGGACTCGAGCCAGGACTCGAGCCAGGACTCGAGTCAAGGACTCGAGTCAAGGACTCGAGTCAAGGACTCGAGTCAAGGACTCGAGTCAATCAACCTTTCTCACGCAATGCGACCAATCCGCCATATTTGGATGACATATAGTTGATTTTTTAATAAATCATTTTATGAAATAAAAATTGGGGGTAACATAACTCGTAACCAACAGGTAATTGCTGTCCAAAATATCGGATGCAAATCGTTAATTTTCATTTCTGACCATAGCATGGAGAATAAAAACAAATTGTGTTTCTATTATCCATTGTTTTAACTTTCAAATCTTTACGATTTAATGGTGCATGCACCGTAATGGTAAAAGAATTAGCCTTTCTAACGCTATGCGACCAATACAATGTTGCTGACTAACTAGAAGTTTTGCAAAGTTCTGTTTTTGAATTCATTTAGCGATTTAAAAATTGTGGACTCAAAAAATGGTATCATAAATAATCACATTTAACGAATTCGGAAAAATTCGAGTCTACTTAAAACCTGCCGCACACGAGAGCAACTAGCCGAGCTAATAATCACTCGTGGCTGTTGGCGTAAGCAAATTTTCTCTTGTGCGGACAAATTTTAAGCGCTTTTGTTCATTCGTGGCACTTTATTCTGGAACGAATGAACAAAAGCGCTTAAAATTTGTCCGCACATGGGAAGAACCATTGAACTGGGAAGAACCCGCTTACGCCAACAGGCACGCGGGAAAGACGGCAATAGAAGTTTCCATCAGCAAGACGTAGATGAGTCATTAAATCGGAGCTTGTCGGCTCGAGTCCTTGGCTCGAGTCCTGACTCGAGTCCTGGCTCGAGTCCTGACTTGAGTCCTGACTTGAATCCTGCCTCGATATTTAGGTACCCTCACTATATAGATGAGTAACTTAACTTCCAGAAAAAGGTAAGAATCTTGTCGTATTTTTGCCATTTTTTCACAAAAATATGGCCGTTGCGAGTTGCTATGACTACAGTGTTTCCACGTGCAGAAAAATATTTCCATACTTTTCTTAATTTCTATTTCTCAAATACCCTGTACCCTCCAAAACCCCATACCACATAAAATTTCTAACAATCATTAACTAATTTTGTTTAACCCAGGCGAGGGGTTGCTGCATGCATGTATTTCTAATACGGGCCTAAGACGTCATATTTCAGAACTCAATCTAGCCCTTCGCGATATTTGTGCATCTTAAAGTTATAGTCATAGCCAATATAACTTAAATGAATTAGTGCTAAAAAATCAGCCGACCAAGGTGGTAATAATTAAGAGGAGATTTTTTGCACAATCCAGAAACTAGCGCTTAGAAATACCGTGATGCATTGCGTGAGCAAAATTTACCCTAAAAAGTGATGAATTAGTAGCACATAGAACTTGTCATAATCATAAGTCTTAATTACCTTGGAGGTTATGGTATAGCCAAACTCATCAATAATGAGATGTTATGGTGCAGTTATATTGAAATGTTGAGGAGAAAGTCAATCACAGTCTCCTAACCCTCATTTTTATACTAACTTTGATTATAACTACATAAATTTTAAGCAACAAACATTTTCTTTTTATCAGGTATTACTATCACTTACTATCTTATTTTATGGTCATTGATGTTTTATTCAGACAATGCATGATGTGTAAAGTACTCCTTTCATGTACCCTTGCTGTCATTCATCATATAAACTTTTTGAATCGCAGAACTGGGTTCATGAGAATTTGAGCCCTCAGGAAAAAGTTTTTAAGTTTATAAGAATTTGAGCCCTTGCTTGCTTCTATAATCGCGGAAAACAAATATGGCTAATTTAATGAAGCAGGATGTGGAGGGTATAAACCTTTCCACTGAGAAAAGACGTTCAACAAGCAACAGCACGCCATATTACACACAGGAATCGCCTTATGATCACACAGATCATTAATTAACTAAATTGAACACTATGCTCGGTTGTTGGAAAATGACCGGCGTCGAACATTCAACAAAGGTCATTTCGTCACTTATTCGATATCTTCACGAAGTCTAATTTCCAGTGAATTGCATTGGATTAATCTCGACATGGCTACATATCTACGTTCCTAAGGTCACATGGTAACTTGAAAAAACACTTCCAATATTTTGATTCATTTGCGACCATTATTGTAGTTGCAGCGTGTTTTTTGCTTCCCTTTAATATAATTATTTTGGCACAGCTGGTGCTGCAATAAATCGAACGTATTGCCGACTTATGTTCAGTGGCGCAGCCAGCACGACAATTGTCATGCTATGCTTATATTTTGGTCTTCATTGACTGAGAAAACAAAGAATTTCTAAAGAAATGAGTAATGATAATAACATAAAATTTGCATAGCATGACTAAATCGTCAGGCTAGCTACGCCACTGCTTAAGTTATTTATTTTTAGGAACTTTATATTATCAAATTTTTTGCTTTTAATCACTTGGTTCCTCTGGATATCCCTGTTGTTTTCCTATTTACATGTTAATCGAGTTTAAAACGGCCAGAGCTAGATGTTCAAGCTCGTCACTTAAGTGCGTGAAATAGCATGAGGACAGCTGAGGGCTCAAAATGAATGTTTTGGTATACATCGGTGGGTAGCCTGCATTGCCTATATAAAGTACTTTCAATTTCAATATAAATTAAAAACCCTGGTTCTGTCAATGGATCTTTTCATTCTGTTCTTCTTAATTCATAATATAGATATACGTTTATAGTTAAGGCTACGTGTATAGTTCATGGTTTAGGATTAGGCCTGATTGAGAGTCCTTATGTTTTGCATACGACATATTAGCCCATTCATAGCAAAGTTACCACACGCTGGGCAATTCCCAGTTTTGTGGTTCTAATATATTTTTCAGAAGCGAAAGTAAATTTATTGAAGTATACGTGTTTGTCATACGAATAGAAACACGATTATGGCTGATGGTAAGTTGTTAGCAAGTATCGATCGTGTTAAGGCATTTTTCTGTGAACTCTC